CAGTTCCCTGTCTTCTGGCAGCCCTGTTCCTGCCACCGCTGCTCCCATGCTCTGACAGCACTGGTCCCGCTCGCATCTGCTGATGGTGCAGAGTGGTTGAGGCCAGCGCCCACAGCAGGTGCCTGCGGCGGCTCCAGCTCTGGATCTGGCGCTGGCTCCATCTGGGAGCGGGGCCAGAGCCAGCAGTGGGTGTGAGCAGCAGCTCCGGCGCTGGCAGCAGATGCGAGCAGGGCCATTGCCAGCAGTGGGTGTGATATGTGGCTCCCGGCCCCAGTCGCCCCTCAGGAGCAGGGGGAGGTGGAGAAGCCCTGAGGGGTGATTGGGGCCGGCAGCTGCTGCTTGCACCCGCTGACAGCTCCAGCAGCAGATGCGAGCAGCGGGGCCAGCATTGGCAGCAGGTGCAAGCACCCGGCGGGACCACGGCGTGCGGGAGCAAAGAATTTTCAGTAACCACCAGAGGCTCGCCCTAATGACAGTGACCGGCGCCCCCGCTCACCTGCTCTACCATCCCGCCACAGCCAATGCCTGCAATGTTCCACACTCTGCTGCCTGCTGCAGATGCCCACCATGTTCCACGCGCACCCCCTGGTGGTCAGCGCACATCATAGTGACTGGTTGTTCAGTTGTTCCGCTGTTCAGTCTATTTGCTTATTAGGGTTTTATAGAGAGAGAGAGCTATTTAGTTTCAGCAAAGAGTACCATCCTGTAAATTAAATTAATGTTTTAAATTGGGGTGAAGAAGGAAAAAGCATTTCTAATACAGCCTTACCTAACACACAACTCGATCTCCTCTCTTCTCCCATGGAATACTTTAAAATTGTAGAAAGTAATTCTGTATTTGAAAGGAATGATGAACTGTAAATGGAAGATACACTTGTCCTAGTGCTAGCAGTGAAACACAGAGTGCCTTTGCCTTTAGCAGTAGTGTTCTGCCTGTGCCATTTGTGGGAATAACCTGGGACTGCTGTCCTCAAATTGTGAAGTCAGTGGTATGGCCTAATGGCCAGAACTTCCCATATTATTCTCTGATAAAATACTCATTTTACTACAGAAGATTCTTAACCTTCCATTGCTTTTGCTTCATTCTATAAAAAATGAACTCTTGCAATGAATAGATTAAACCCTTTACAAACATAATTTTGTATAACATAATTCACCTTCTGGGAATTTTTTTCTCCTGAGACACTGACTTCATGCTATTGTTTTAGTGGAAATAGTCTGGGTCTAATCAGAACTGAATACCATAGTTGCAATCAGTACTTTAATGCTTACTCATACCACAACAAAAAAAAGCTTGCAAAATTAATTAATGTTGAAAACAGTTTCTCCAGTGGACCTGGTTTTGTAAGTTGAAACATTGGTTTTCATGCTGTGGAGGCTTAACTCATCCTGGCTTACAAAATCTAGAGAGGAGCTCTCACAAATCTACATTTTAAAACAAGTGCCCTTTTTCTGGATTACCTAGAATTATTCTGAAGTAGTGAGTTTTGGCTCTGGTTGGTGTGGGTCATTTGGTTGGGCGTCTTCCTGTGCACTGAAAGGTTGTCGATTTAATTCTTAGGGTACATGTCCGGGTTGCAGGCTCCATCCCTGATTGGGGGGGGGGGAGGCCTTGGTGGGGAGGGTTGTGCAGGAGGTGCCAATCAATGTTTTGCTCTCACATTGGATGTTTCTCTTTCTCCCTCTTCCTTCACCTCTCTAAAAATCAATTAGAAATCTTTTTTAAAAGTAGTGATTTTGCATTTGAACATATTTGTAAAATCTCTTTTTCAATATATCTAATAATGTATTATATCAACTAAATTTTGAGTTCTCAAAGAGTTATTTGTATCAATTTAACTCTCCCTAACCACTGTCACAGTAACATGAACATATAAAGACAACTTACTAAATATATCTTTTTTTTTAATTAAATCTTTATTGTTCAGATTATTACATTTGTTCCTCTTTTTTCCCCCCCATAACTCCCCTCCTCCCAGTTCCCGCCCCACCCTCTGCCCTCACTCCCCACCCACTGTCCTCATCCATAGGTGCACGATTTTTGTCCAGTCTCTTCCTGCATCTCCCACACCCCTTTCCCCTCCAAGAATAGTCAGTCCATTCCCTTTCTATGTCCCTGATTCTATTATAATCACCAGTTCATTCTGTTCATCAGATTATTTATTCACTTGATTCTTAGATTCACTTGTTGATAGATGCATGTTTGTTGTTCATAATTTGTATCTTTACCTTTTTCTTCCTCTTCCTCTTCTTAAAGGATACCTTTCAGCATTTCATATAATCCTGGTTTGGTGGTGATGAACTCCTTTAGCTTTTCCTTATCTGTGAAGCTCTTTATCTGACCTTCAATTCTGAATGATAGCTTTGCTGGATAAAGTAATCTTGGTTGTAGGTTCTTGGTATTCATTACTTTGAATATTTCTTGCCACTCCCTTCTGGCCTGCAAAGTTTCTGTTGAGAAATCAGCTGACAGTCGTATGGGTATTCCCTTGTAGGTAACTGAGTTTCTTTCTCTTGCTGTTTTTAAGATTCTCTCTTTCTCTTTTGCTCTTGGCATTTTAATTATGATGTGTCTTGGTGTGGTCCTCTTTGGATTCCTTTTGTTTGGGGTTCTCCGCGCTTCTTGGACCTGTAAGTCCATTTCTTTCACCAGGTGGGGGAAGTTTTCTGTCATTATTTCTTCAAATAGGTTTTCAATATCTTGGTCTCTCTCATCTTCTGGCACCCCTATAATTCTGATGTTGGTACGCTTGAAGCTGTCCCAGAGGCTCCTTACACTATCCTCGCATTTTTGGATTCTTTTTTCATTTTGCTTTTCCGGATGGGTGTTTTTTGCTTCCTCGCATTTCAAATCATTGACTTGATTCTTGCGCTCCTCTGGTCTGCTGTCGGGAGTCTGTATAATATTCGTTATTTCAGCCCGTGTATGCTTAATTTCTAGTTGGTTCCCCAATATAACATCGAGGGTCTCATTAGTTTTCTTGTAGATCTCATTAAGTTTATCAGCGGCTTCTAAACAGTTCTTGAGAGACCTTAAAAGTGTGGTTCTGAACTCTATATCTTCCATTGACAATTTTGTCCTGTTTCTTTGTCTCTGCATTTTGTTATGCTTCCTTGGTGCACCCCCTAGTGGTCTTTGTTCGCAGTCTTATAGTTAAACCTTGATTGTTGTAGCTAATACCAGGGAGGGTTTGACCTCCAGGCCAAGTGGCTATGAGAATCAGCTGTGTCTGTAGTGAGAGAACTTCTGTCCTCTAGGGAGGTGCTAATCTGGCGTTTGCCTGAGGCTATCCAGCAAATGCCTCTGTGCAGGGCTTGGGCGGGGCGGGTCGCACAGGATCAACAGGGTGGGCTGGAGAGAGCAGTTATGGCGGCTCTCAGTCCTGTCCCCAGGGGCTCTGCCTCTCCGAGTCCCAGCACCCGCTGCAAACCTCGGAGAGAAAGCTGCACTTGCTCTGACCGAAGCCAGACAGTCCCGCTTCTCCCGTTTGAGTCTGGGTCCCTAAAGACTCGCCTGTATCTGGAGCTCAGAGTCTGCGACTCCCTCCCGATTGAAAACGCCAACCGCGCCCTCCGCCGCCAGCCCGCTCCGCACACTCCGCACCTCAGAATTTGACTTCAGCACTGCGCCTCCTCTGAGTGTCCGTATGCGTTTCTCTTTCCTCCTAGTTGTAGGACTTCCACTCAGCCAGCGTTCCTGTGGTTCTGGGTGATGTCCGTTCCGTTTTTTAGTTTCACTTTTGAAGTAGTTGTTCAAGGCAGCAAACTCCCGCGTTAACCTATGCTGCCATCTTGGTTCTCCTTACTAAATATATCTTGATTAAATCTGAATTATATCTTTCAAACTGATCATATAAGAGCTTTAAGTACAAAAATATGTACTAGAGGCCCAGTGCACGACATTCATGCACTGGGGGGGGGGAGGGGATCCCTCAGCCCGGCCTGCACCCTCTCACAGTCTGGGACCCCTTGGGGAATGTCTGCCTGCCGGCTTAGGCCCACTCCCCGCATTAGTCAGACATCCCCCGAGGGATCCTTAGCGCTGCTGTGGAGGCGGGAGAGGCTCCCGCCACAGCTGCTGCACTCACCAGCCATGAGCCCGGCTTCTGGCTGAGTGGCACTCCCCCTGTGGGAGAGCACTGGCCACCAGGGAGCAGCTCCTGTGTTGAGCATCTGCCCCGTGGTGATCAGTGCACATCATAGCCACAAGTCGTTCTGCCGTTCGGTCGATTTGCATATTAGGGTTTTATTATATAGGATTCTATGTTACTTATTTTTAGTATATATTATGTGACCAAAAAATAGCTCACTTTTCAGTTTGGGATTTTGCAAATGTGGAAATAGCAGCTTGTGAAAAATATAACGCTTACAAACCTCTAGCCAGCCTGAAATTGCTTTTCACCAACATGACACTACTAACTAGAAATTTCAAACTCTGGAGGTGTGTATACACACATGCACAAAATTAACTGAAGTACTTATAGAAACCATATCGATAGCGCGTGCGTGTGTGTTTTGTTGATAATTAGCAACCACATGACAATGTACTCAGTATTGATAGCTGATAAATAAGGGTGAGGAATTAGGAATTGGAAACTAGAATAATAAATTGCTTGGGTGGCTTTAAGTGTCTTTTTTAAATTGAATTCTTACTAAAATAATAACTATTATAAGTTCAATAGCCGTTTTTTATCATTTTGCTTTTATTTCACACTAGAAACTGCCAAGCAGATAACATCTAAATGTATCTTTTTCAATATGACAAAGTTACACAAGAAGAGAATCCCCTAGCACGTAAAGAAAAACGCAATTATTTTCTATTCTGAATCTCCAGACTGCTGTTTTAGAAAATCATATCTGATTATTTGCTCAGCAGAAGATTATTGAGTTGATTTAGCTGTGATTTTACTTAACAAAGCTTCAACTGCATTCCTACTGTGGAGTCCGAAAAAGGTAGAGAGATATAAATGATACATTCAAACTGTGATTTTTGTGAACAGGCCCATCGATGCACCCCTCGGAGCTAATAGCGGAGATGAGAAACAGTGGGTTTGCACTGAAACGAAATGTACTGGGGAGAAACTTGACCGCAAATGATCCATCACAGGTAATGATCTTTTTATCAGTAAGCTGAAAATGCCTAAAAATCTAAATGTGATTGCTTGTGAATTGCTACTTAATGTTTTCCAATATGCATATATCCATAGGAAAGCAAGATAGAGCAAAGAAAATGCCTAAATGTATTTTGATTTTGCTTTATTATTTTAACTTAAATGAGAAATTGTTTTTAAACCTATATTTTAATAAATGAAACTGCTCCTCTGGGTTTATGTGGATGAAATATCTTAACTGGTGATGAGATGGTTGTTTTTTTTCCTTCTTGCTAACTTACCACTGAAGTGACATAAATAGAACCAATGGGAAGAAATGTATAAAAGAAAACTCCTAAAAAGTATAGAAAATATTTTAAGCATTAATTTATAAACTGTACATAGATCCAGAAAATGGTGTAGATACCCTAATGCAAACCATTTAGTTTATTTAAATGAGGAAAGTGGAGCCCAGGCAGTTAAGTGATTTCCCTGAGGTCATGTTTTCTGTTCTGAGACAGAGCTGAGACTAAAACCCAGATTCCCACTGGTGTAAACTTGTGCTGCCCTGAAAAGAGGCACATTACCTTTCAAACATTACTAGGGATTATTCATATAACATATAATAATCATATGTTTGTACTATTTCATACATTGTATATGAATTGCTAATCATATATTTGATAATGTACTGTTGAAATTATAAAGGCTAAAATTGTGGATGTTTTCATCTTCCCCAAAAGTTAATGATCTTCTTGGTTTTAATATTTCATTTTTAAAATAAAATATTTAAACCCTCAAGTATTTAAATTCAAACTCAAGAGACAGAAACATTTTATCTGTTTCTCTATCATACTCTTCCTGATTAAAGTTTGTTAGTGCTGGCAAAGCTGTCATCTTACCCTCTTAGTGTGTAATGATACTCCTTAATTTACATGCCCCCCGCCACATACACACACACACACACACTTTCCAATTCAGAATGTCACATTCATCTACAGTATGTCTCTAATACAAAATTTCTTATTTCTAAATATTTTCTTTAATGTCTGATAACTAACTTGTCTGATAATCTAGCAATGTAATGATCTTTGTTGCCTCAGGAATACGTTGCAAGTGAGGGTGAAGAAGATCCAGAAGTCGAATTTTTAAAGTCACTAACAACCAAACAAAAACAGAAACTTCTCAGGTAATGAAAAAATATATGTTTAATTAATTCTGTTACATTTTTTGCATGTTCCATCTTTGTATCATATTCAACTCTGATTCCAAGAGCTCATGAAGGTACTTAGACCAATGTATCACATTTATTTAATGATTTATTCTTCAGCTATAGTAATACAGTTTTGTCTTTCTTTAAGTAATATGAAAATGAATCTAAGATTATACCACACACACAAAAAAAGCACTTTTCAGAATACTTAATTTGGAAATAGATTTATTTGTAGGATTTACTTGGTATAGATTTGTATATATCTTTGCAGTTTATTCTTAGAAAATATTTTGGGACATGTATTGCTCTTTTATATTTTGTAAGATTTTATGAGGAATGCTGACAGATGCTTAAATTTAAGGTAAATATGAATCTTGTTAAACATACCACCTTTGGATTAAAGAATCCAAGAAACGGCTGCTGAATCCAATAGAGGGAGCTCATGCTGTGGGTGTTGAGAATTGCTAGACAAAACCAGTGAAGGACATTTTCATTCCAGAGTGACGTAAACAAGTTACTCTTCTGGGAATGTGAAGTGCTCTTTAGAAATTCAGAATGCCTTAATAGAATTATTCTAATTACTTATAAATCTAAACATTGTTGAAAACCAGTATGTGATTATTTTGTTTTATATAACCAAAAAACAGTATAAAAAATGTAAAGTGTATTCTTATTCAGAATTTCTGGAGAATATATCCTTGAATTTTGATAATGTAATATTGATTAATATTCCCATAATTTAAAATAGTACATACATAAAAATATTTTTCTCTGATTATAGTTATATATTTTAGTTTGTAGTAGGTCCAATTAATGAATGTTACAAGCCTTTAGGTCAGGATAACCATTTATTTAGAGTGCTATATCATTTCAAATTCTGATTCAATAGGGATTTTTTTTTTAATAATGAGAGAATTATCTTAATGCATTTAATTTCTTATTTATATTTAATATGTATGTGACTTGAATAATTTAAGAGGAAGAAAATGTCATTTAATAAAGTATGTGTTTATATTTGAATACCTCTTTCAGTAGCTTCTAAGAAAATATATTGTCTGTTCAAAATTTTGTTTGTCAATAAAAGGACTATTTTTAGTCTCTTACTTTTTTTCCCAATTATAGGAAATTGGATCGACTTGAGAAGAAAAAAAAGAAAAAGAAAAAAGATAGAAAAAAGAAAAAGCTTCAGAAGAGTAGAAATAAACACAAAAAACATAAACACAAATCCTCCTCCTCCTCTTCCTCCTCCTCCTCTTCCTCCTCCTCCTCTTCCTCCTCCTCCTCTTCCTCCTCTTCTTCTTCCTCCTCCTCCTCCTCCAGTGAGACTTCAGAAAGCAGCAGTGAGAGTGACAACAAAGAAAAAAAAATACAAAAGAAGAAAAGAAAGAAAAACAAATGTTCAAGAAATAAAAACAATGATATAGGAGAAAAGGACAAGTCTAAGAAGAGAAAACTTTATGAAGAACTTTCTAGCAATCATTGTAATAAGGAGAAAGCCAAGGAAGAGCCTAGATTTTTAAAACGAGAGAGTTCTAGGGAGACTAGCAAATGGAATCATTCTAATTTTGACAAAACGTCCAGAAGCCATAACCACAGCCCAGAGAAGAGAGGATCTGAAAGAATTGAGAGGAGCAGGAGAAGCCGGAGCAGGGATGAGAGGAGCAGGAGAAGCCGGAGCAGGGATGAGAGGAGCAGGAGAAGCCGGAGCAGGGATGAGAGGAGCAGGAGAAGCCGGAGCAGGGATGAGAGGAGCAGGAGAAGCCGGAGCAGGGATGAGAGGAGCAGGAGAAGCCGGAGCAGGGATGAGAGGAGCAGGAGAAGCCGGAGCAGAGATGAGAGGAGCAGGAGAAGCCGGAGCAGGGATGAGAGGAGCAGGAGAAGCCGGAGCAGAAGTCATAGTAGTTACAAGCAAAGGGAAATAAGAAAACGGTCTTAGCAAAGTCCCAGTAAAGAGCGGAATAGAAGAAATGATACTAGAAGCCACGGCACAGATATATACAGAGGAGGAAAAATGCACAAAGAAAATTCGGGAGATAAGCATACTAGAGTGACAGAGAAAGAATGAAGAAGTAGAGAGAATAGAGACTGCATGTGACAATTAACTGGGAATAAAAATATCTCTACTTATCAAATACTTCTAGCAAGGGCTAATATGTATTGTCTTTCTAATTAAAAAGCTCTATTTTAGTTTTCAATCTCTGTAAACTCATATCAAAAACAAAACTACATAAATCTCATAAGAATGAACTTTGCAAATATTTGTAAGTAATCTATTTTGGAGCTGTAAAATATTTTCTGTTGGTAAGTATTTCTTGTGCGCGCTATACCAGATTAAAAAAAAACAAAACACACAAACTCTGTGACATTGTCTTTCTTCTGAAACTAAATCATTAAAAGAATGACAGCACAGTTGAATGGGTATAATTTAATTTTTTAATTTCAATTTACTAGAAGCAAAATGTAAACATTATTGAAATTCACTAGTATGAATTAAATATTGGGTTGATCAATATTTCTTTAAAACTCCCTCATGTGTTTTATTCTCCAGAGTAAGCTATTTACATTTGGGTGATATATTAATTTTCTATGCTGCCATAACAAATTACCTCAAACTTAAAACAATACAAAAATATTCTACAGTTCTGGAGATGAGAAGTCTAAAATGGGTTTCACTGGAGTAACATAAAAGCGTCAGCAGGGTTGGTTCTTTCTGGAGGCCCTACTGGAAAGAAAACTGTTTGCTCGCCTATTCCAGCTTCTAGAGGAATTCCTTGGCTCCTGGTCCCTTCTTCCATCTCCAAAGCTAACAAAGGCAAGTCGAGCTTCACATCTAATCACTCTGACACTTTGACATTCTTCATCCCTCTTCTTTTTTATGGACCCTTGTGATGATAATGAGTCTATCAGGAGAATTGTCCTATTTTAAAAATCAATTTGCAACCTTAATTCCCCTTTGCTACTTAACCTAACATCTTCCCAGGTTCCAGGGATTAGGATGTGTATATCTTTAAGGGACCATTATTCTCCCTACCACAAATGGTCTTTCTACTACTGGCTTACAACTATTAGAATTTACTTCTAAAGGTTAAGTATTTATGTAATGTCACAAATGGACCAAAGTAAATTCTTCAGCTATATTTTATGACTATAGGTATATAAGGTTTATTTAAACTTTTCCCTCGTGTTTCAAATGATCTGGTAAAAAGAAACTATAGGGAAAAAAGTAGTACAAATTACAAGTAACATGCAATTCTAAAAAAGATACATCCTGGACACAAGTATTTTTATCAGGGTTCCACATTTTTTAAACATGTTATATAATACAATACAGATACTGATTAGATGGTTTTGAGGGTTGGCAGCATAATTTTGTAAATTCTATAAGAAGTAAATAAGTTTGGAAGAAGGGGTAAATGAAACCACTCCTAGTAATCTGTTATATATGTCTGCATCTTGTATATCACACACGAATGTCCTCTGATTTAGAAGCAACTAAAGGTGTAAGAAACGCTCTGATTATTTAGATTTTTCAGAGAATTGGTGGGGAAGAACTTGAATTTCTTCTAAAGTTATTCTTTAATAACTTACAGTGCACCTAAAAGATCCTTTTCCTTCATTTAGAAAAAGCATGCATTTGAAATGGATAAAGACTGCTGATTTACATCTTGAATTCATTAGTGTTGCACTAATTTTCTATCTTATGCCTTTTTATACTTTATAATGTCAAAATCTATGCAATATCTACTGCCTTAAAGGATTTCTGAAGGGAAATATAGTGTTCATGAAGAGAAATGTTGAAATGCATCCTGTAATTTAAAATGAATTAAATACATTATTTTTTACACTTTTTTCATTTGACTTTTACAAAAGTGTAGTCCTCTTTTAATTTGATGTGGCTGTAGGAATTTTTTTAAATCTCTGGTTTAATTATCCTTCATTGTTAGACTGAAAAATATAAACTGATTTACCAACTTATCCATCCAATGGTGAGAAAAATTCCCATGTATTTATGGAAGATACTGATTTACTATTTGGCTTTTAGCCTTGGTCACCCAAAGGTGCTAGACAGCCCCAAGGGGCTAGTATATCAACCTTGCAAACTTAAAAACTGAAAGAAGACATTTCACATATCACAAGGTAAGAGCTTTAAAGAAGCTCGCCTTTTCTGCATACTCTTGATATGGATAAAAGGATTTGAAAGTGATTTTTAAAATAAAAATGTTAGACATCTAATTCTACTTTTGATTTTGAAATATAAGGTTGAACCAGAGAGAAACCTCATAATTAAAAGGATGTCTACTTGTATGTGTAGAGCGCCGCCTAATACTATAAACCAAAAAGGAATCCTTCAAGTATAATGAATATTCAAGAACAAGAGTCCTCAACAGTGACATTTTTAAAGAAGAACCACAGGGAAAGTCTGATGGTGTTTGCCATTCTTACTCTCAACAGAAAAATTATTTTAAAGATATATGGATGTGCCTGGTGACATTTGTCCAGGGGCCTGGAAACACACTGACAGACTCAGGAGACATGTTGGGGGCACTCCCCTTTTCCCTGGCCTTACACTTAATTTAACACTAGCAAATTAATTCCTGTAGGAGGTGCTGTTGATTTACAAATGGCCAGGATGGATCGGGTTCCCAGGTTAGGACTTGTTTACTTACCTGAATGTTACGTGGTTAGTCATCATTTCATTTAATAAATGTGCCAAAATAAGCAGAGTTTGCTTCAGCAGAGTGGCAGGTCGGCTTACCTTGCAATGTGGAGTGGAGATCTTGTCTTGAATCATACAGTTTTAATCTGAAAAAAGCTTTTTATCTGACAGGCTTGGGAAGACCTATCTTGCTGTGCTTCGGTGAGACCGCTCCTGATAGTGAATCAGATCAGTCTCCGCTGCTGGGAGCACAGCGCTTTCCGGTTTTAATCACCAGCCATTTACTACGCTTTAGCATTGATGCTCAAATGTTTCCAAAATCCACCTGAGCCATTTCACTCGCCTCCTTACCTAGTGACCACTGGGCCCAGAAGCTGTTGGAAGGTGCGTCCTCCACACCCTGTGCTTAAGATCAGAAGAAAGCTGCATTGCAGCTTCAGTAGCTGAAGGATATCTAGAAATCTTACTTAGGCTTTCTGAAAAGGAAACTGGTAGTTACCACGTCTTGAAAAGAGATAAAGGCATGCACTAACTGAAGGTCCTGAGACTGTTTATTGGATCAAAAAGGAGAAATCCTTTTAAAGAGTTGTGAGAAACAAATAAGATGACCCAAAAAAGGTAAATGTCACCTCTCGCCAGCAATCTGCAACTCTAAGATTTGGGAGATCCGCTGACAGCTGAGAGCTCCTGATGAGGTCCCTAAGGCCGGTCCTGCTGACAGAAAGGAAACGTACTCATCACCTCCCCTCTTCCTCCTCCCTTCATGCCACACTCACCACCACCCTCAGAATGTAACAGTAATAATGAAGCCAGCTGCCCGACGAAACGCAGGCGCTGCCATTAGTGTCATGGAAGGGCACGCACATTCTGGCCCAAACTGCCCGTGAGCCAGTTTCTTTGACCCCGTGGGCAGAAGTGGAGGTCTGGGGGCTCGGTCGCTGGCCAAAGCGACGCTTCTAAGGACCTCGCCCTAAACCCAAAGGAAGCCAGAAAGGGGCTGCAGTAGGTGCTACAGTGATTGATTCCATCCCCCGAGGCAATGCCACCCCTTCGTACTACAGCTGCTTTCCTTCTCGACCGCGGTTGGAAACCTGAACGCACCTCAAATCCAAATGGAGAGGTTGAGAATTAGGCTGCGCATTCTTCTAAAAGACGCGCCCCAAGCGCAAGGCAGCCGCTGGATCCCCCACCCGCAAAGTGTAAGGGTTTAGCTCACAGCAAGGGTTCCCTCGCGCCCCACGCCGGTGGCCTACCCAGAAGAAACTCCCGAGCCACCCGCCGGGCGCGGGCCACAGGCGCTGCGCCCAGGGGACCGACGCGCCCTGCCGGTTCCCGCCTAAGCTCGCTTGGCCTCCGGCGCGTTTCTCCCACGCAGGTCGGAGGGCGGACTCGCCTTTGGTAGTCAGGAAATCGAGCGAATTCCTCTCGTCGCTCAGGCTCCACAGGTGCAGAGGGCGCCTTAGGACGCCTCTGCTAATCTCACCCCTGGAGCAAAAAGGAAAGTGTCATCTCTCGCCAGCAATCTGCAAGCAGAAAACGGCCTGGGGGAGACACCCTATCCCTATGCATTGCTTTATATATGAACTATCCCGAAATAGATGTTTGCAAAACAATGCAAAATCTCTGTTATGAATTTCCAAAGAAAAAGTGCAAGGGTGTTGGAAAACCTAAAAATTTGGGTTCTTTCCTGGATTCCTGAGAACAGGCCCCGGAACAGGACCCACGGACATTCTGAAACCTTCCCTTTAAATGGAGTTGCAAACACACTGTATATATTTATATCAGTAACATATAGGGAAGGCATGTCTGTATGTATTTACCTCGTACATATTCCTATAAACTCTTGAGTCTAGAAAGGGTGGGGGGTAAATAACACTGAACGGTAAAAATTATGGAGAAGGGATAATAACTGATTACTAATTTGAAAGTAAATAAACAGGTGACTTTTTCAGATCAAATTCCTCCTTGGATCGTTACAATAAATATCTCTGAAGGAAGCTCTCTATTTATGTTGTCATTGATTAATTCTTCACTACCTCATTTGATTTCGATTTAGAACGATTTGATTCTAATTTAATTAGCATGTAATTTGGATGTACATAATTACTGTAATTATGACATTCAGGTAAGGCAGCTTTAGGCTGAAAGGCAATTTCAAATTTTCTAGCAAGCTACTTTGTACTGAGAAATGGACAAGGACTTTGCGCCCTGCTATCCAAGTAGTAATTAGCACATCTTTGAAATAGGCAGTGCGGCGGGGTTTGTATTAAAACAGCAAATACAAATGCAGCCGAGTTATCCGCTGCTAAGGTGGCTGTGAGTTCTCGGAAAGGCTGGCGTTTCCTGGGCATGAGATGGGGGAGCCCGGGGCTGCTGCGGTCCACGGCGCCTCCGCCGCCTCGTGCGCGAGACTTGGAGGTGTAGCTTTTCCGATTAAAATACAATAAACGGGCGGGATGGTGGGGAGGGGGAGCAGGAAAGAAGCAGCAGAGCCACGCACAACGTCTGAAGACTGGGGGTGGGGTGGTGGACTCGGAAGAGGAGGGAAGGGGGCGGCGGGGGAGGGCGATGCTCAGAGAGGAGAGAAAATTGGTCAACGCCCCCAGCTGTTATCAGATTTCAGATTTCAGTTTCAAAGGGAAAAGGTGGGAACAAAGGGGGTCAGTTTGTGCCTGCAGGAAGTGAGGACCCTTCGGGAGGGGCTGGGGCGAGGGGTTTCGGGGCTCCCGGACCTGCGTGCCCCTCAGGCCCGGGTCTGCCCAGCAGTCCCCCGCACTCGTTTCAGCCGGGACAGCTGCCTGGAGGACGCCGGCGAGGCAGGAGGCTTGGTGGGCCATCGGGGCCCCAGGCTGGTGGAAAGCTGTAAGCCCCTCGCTCCCCTCCCCTTCAAAGGGGGACCTGGGGACGTGGAACGGTCTGGTAGCCTGGTTTAATCAGCCTGGTTCCGGTAGGCCCGCATAGAGCACGCGAGCCTCGTGGACCGAGAGCCCTCGGATCTGGGGTCATTGGGCAGAGAGCACGAGGGACTGTGCCCACGCCGGTCCCCATCCCGGGGTCCAAGTCGCCACTGACTGCACCCAGCCTGCTCAACTCCGAGTCGGAAGACCCTGATGTTGCCTTGAAAGGGGTATTAAGTGCAACAATTCAAAGACGAGGGCCAAGCAGGACGTTCGTTATTTTGTTTACTTTGTTTGGATTTTCAGTTAGCATGTTTCAGAAATGACCTCCTTCTCTAGGAGCAGTGAACCGGCCATTGCTAAGCAGTGCCCCCCAATTGCGGGGCTCTCCTCTTCCCCCACCCGCACCCTCCTCCAACATAAAAACATAAAAACTCGCTTTTCTTTTCTTGCTTCGCTGGGTTGTTGCAGCTGGCGGCAAACGGCGGTCTCCCCGCTCAAATAGCCGCGAGCGAGGAGGACAGCGCGGCCTTCCCGGCCGGGAGCTCTAGATGGCGCCAGCGAGCCGCACTCGCCAAGCTCCTTAAGGGAATCAAGAGCGACTGTCAAAGATAAAAGCAAATCAGAGTTTTCAGTTTTTTTTAATGTGTTAAGAATGTTATTCCTTAAGAAAATTTGTAGCTAAATTATTCTCACTTAAAATAAACACTTAGTATACCAATTACACAAATGGGCGGGATTTATGTAAGATTTACTTCATCTGCATTTTTGTTGTGGGAGAGAGCCTTGGTGAATACAGATAATAGATGCAAATAAGATTAGAGTTAAAATAAATAAAGTTTCCATCTGAATAAAAAGAAATTCAATTTTACACGACTTGTAACGATTTGACGGAATGTCCAGACACGCCGTTCAGGTGCACAATCTAATCTCGTCACAATAAGGTTGTGTTCCCTCCTTGAGGAAAGAAAAATCCTTCTTTTCTTTTTCCTCATCAGGTAGGATCCAATTCACTCCAAGGGGGGAAACGTAAGGCCAGAGGGAACGCCTGGGGAGGGTACAGATTGGGACTAGGGTGGGCGCGGGGCCTGGGAAAACTTGGCCTTCGCCCCTCTCCTGCGCAGGAAGCTCCCTAGCGGGAAGCGCTGGGCGAAAACGGCTGAAACGAAATCCCGTTTCCCCTCGCCCGGACCTCAGGGGGACTCAGAGGTCCTGTCTGCGCCCCCCGCCCCACACCGGCTCCAGGCAGCAGCCCTGTCCGAGCCCGGCCCGTAGCCGTAGCCGCGGCCCCCTCTCCTCCCGGGCCCCGGAGCTGGAGTAGCCCAGGACCCTGGAGTCCCGAGGGGGCCCTGGGGAGGCTTGGCCCCATCAGGCAAAGACCTAAGTCTCCCGTGAGCTCTCGCCTCCCATGCACAATCTCTCCCATTTGCTCGGCCTCGGCGGGTCTCCACCCGCCCCGGTCAAGGTGTCCCAGCGCCCCCCTGGGCCCCCTCGGGCCGGGGGGCTTCGGCAGGAGGGGTGGGATCTGTTTCCGCTTGCTGGTTTCGGCGCGGGGCAGGCGCCCCACTCCCTCCAGGTTCAGGGTGTGCGAGCGCTGGTCTGGCCGGACGCTCGGGCCCGGCCGCCGCCCGTGATTCCCGGGAGCCGCGGTGATGGACGTCCGCTGACCCACGGGGCAGAGAAAGCAGGCAGAGGCCTTGATCACTGGGCTGCGGAGCCAGCCGCACTGCCAGCGGGACCTGCACGGCCAGGCCCTTTGATCTGCTTTTTTTATCCGCGAGAAACAAAGCTGCCTGGGACAGACGCCCGGGCGCCCTCCTTGCTCAGGAAAGCCCACCGTACCCTCAGCTCTGCGCCGCTGGCCCGCACCCCCAAAGGTGCCGGGCACCCTCTGGGCTTCCAGAGCTTCGGCCCCAAACCCCCAGGGCAAACGCACCCCTGCCGGCCTCTCGAGAGCACTAGCCCTGAACCCAAAGGCGCGCGGTGGGTGGGGTGGGAGGTCCCTGCTATGGACTGTTTGATCTGGGAGGGAAAATAGCCGAAGGAAAGGAAAGCTCGGGGAAGAAGAGCGGGCATCCGAGGCTGCAGGGACAGGGACTGCACGGGGGAAAGGGAGGAAGCCACCGAGCCCCACGCTGCAAGCTCCCCTCGGAGAACCTTCGCTCTCTGTTTTATCGCTACTTTGTTAGTTGGCTTCTCAGAGCAGAGCTTCCGATAAGACAAATTGCTGTTAAGAACAATAATTTATTTCTTTCTTCCCTAAAAATCAAAACCTCATTCAAGTTCCCAAGATGGACAGTAATAATTTTTTTTTCCATTGGGGCTGACTTTGCTTGTGTTGCCTATTGTGTGGGGAGCCTTGTAAAAATATTTTATTCTGCAAATACGCATTTTATTTTCTAAATTAACATTTTTTTTTCCGAATTGTGAAATTATCTCATTTACCAATTTTCTTTTCGTCTCTCCCTCTCTTCTCCCTCTCTTTTAAACTGGGCTGTTAAGTTGGTGGTCAGAAGACAAAGAGAGTGAAAATAATTTTCATTTCAATAATTGCCTTCTGGTCAATTTAACTGTGCCTTATTTTGAAAGAGGCTGCCTAAATGAGATTCCTGTCCCGAATGTGTTCCCAGGCCTGATCCCAGCCTTTAATTATTCCTGAGGTTTTTTTCTTCAGAATAAGACGCCGCACTGAGTAATCACAAAGAAGTCAGAGAGCATCCTTGAACCTTTTCAGAGGCAGCGCCACTGATATTCAAATAACCTGCGAGGGCCATTTGACGGGCGCGGGGACCTCGGCATTTCCAATTCACTATTTGCATAGATCAGCCGTCTTTGAAAAGGAAAGGAGCAGTTGTCTTCCATAACATTAAAAAGCCTAGTTATCAAATCAAGTGCTTAGTTTGGGGGCTTTTAAAACGTTTACATTTTATCTCAGGTTGCCCTTTACCGTTTGACATGCAAATTTGGTGCAGTTAATTTAGACAATTAAAAAGATCTTCAAGGGAGCTTTGTCACGGAGAATATTTGGAGTTTTCCCCGAGGACCAGCTGAGATAAAGTTGGCCAGAACAAATGATGTCTAGGAGATTAATTAGATATTTGATAAGACATGAATCCCTAATAAGGGAATACAAGGCACAGGGGGCTGCTGTGTGCTCTAAGTCAAAATTAATAACATTTAACAAGATTTTCATTTAGGCATGAAATGTCTTTTCCGGGGTATTGACTCCAGCGATTTATTCCCTGGAGTCGCCTCCCAACATAGAGGGCCTTGGGAACGAAGACTTCTTTTTAAAAGCTTTCCCCTTTCAGTTTGTTTTTAAATCACTTTTTTAAAACAAATAAACCCGCGGGTGTTTTTCCTGACCCCCTCCAGGAGGTATAAGCATCTCCCCAGTTAAAACTGCCAAAGACCTTTTTTTTTTCAGGCCCTCCAGAGTTTTAAAATGTCATCTTTTGAGAACTCTTTCATTAAGTAATACAACTACACGTTCTTATAACCCAATTTAATTTATGCTGTTAATATACAAATAAATAATTTGACTCCTCAAAAACGGATGTTTATGGCTTTTATAACTTACATGAACTTTTCATTACCTAAAACTAACATTAAAGGATTTTTTTCCCCAACCAAAAAACGTCGACCCACATAAAGGTTATTGAGTGAGGAACAGGATTTTTAAAAGGAAGTATATTGTTCAGAGTCCTTTAATGATACCAAAATGAAAATATGTCAGGATTTTCTTCATACAGATAAACGCATTTAATTTCTTTAGATGACCTTAACTTATGAGTTTGTGAGTGAAATGATAACTCAACATTTTAAATATCTTTTACATATATACTGACTTTCACAAAGTGCATCAGAAAATTAAAGAAAAAACTCCCTGAATTTCAGGAATTCACCAAAAAAACAAAAAACAAACCCCAAACAACTCTATTCGAATGAACATTTACAAGAAAATAAAAGAGAACATAATCTTTTGAACCCTATTTATACAGATGTTATGAAATACAGAGCTGTCACTAGACTTCCAGTTTAATTTCTCACCTTAAGCCTTTTATGATGCTTCCTTTTTTAGGAAAAAAAAAGTCTCAATGTAAGTAGATATCAAGCAGGATTTGGAGTATTTTATATATAATATAATCCACACAAAAGGTCTGTTTTTATAGGTCCCGTTTGTTTTAAAATGTTCTGACAGTCCTTTGCAGGGTGGTGGCTTGTTTTTGGAGAAAAGGAAAGAGAAGGGTGGTGGAGGGGGTGGTCGGTGGAGGAGGGAGTGTTTCTGTGTATTGCTCTTCCCTCGAGAAGTTTGTGCGTGTGTGTGTGTGTGTGTGTGTGTGTGTGTGTGTGTGTGTGTGTGTGTGTGTGTATGTGCGCGGGTGTGTGTGCTTTGGGTTGTAAGTCTCCGGTGTGTGTGCATGTCTGTGTGTGCAGTTTTTAAGTAGTGTTGGTGGCGGAGGATGGTTTGCTTTTGTTCCTGGACCACGCGTTCGATTCCCGTGTGAGCTCCGACAGCAAAGGGGAGCTCCTGGCGTGGCCGGCGAAGAGCGGCCGGGGAGCCGGTTACTGCTCCACCTCGCGCCGGCCCGGGGGCGTCACCGGAGCCCCAGCCCATCTGTCCCCCGCTCGCTCGCCCTCTGAACCTCTCGTTTGCTCTCGACGTTTCTTCCCGCTCGCTCGCGCCTCTCGCCAGATCTCTAGGAGTCGGTGGGGCCAGACGCGGCTTCCTTGCCTCCCGCCGAGGCCGCTGCCGCCGCCGCTGCCGCCGCCGCTGCTGCCGCCGCCGCCGCCGCCCGGGCGGCACTGACCCCGGAGTCGTGCAGGATGAGGTCGGGGGACTCGGAGCGGGGCGTCTCCAGGTTGCTGGCGTCTGTGTCACTGTCGCTGCCCTTTTTGCCCCCGCCGCCCCCGTTGTGCGTCTTAATGTGTTTGCTCAGGTGGTCGCTGCGCATGAAGCGCTTGTTGCAGACGGGGCAGGCGAAGCGCTTCTCGCCCGTGTGAGTCCGCAGGTGCCGCTGCAGCTCGTCCGAGCGCGTGAAGCGCTTGCCGCAGAAGAGCCAGTTGCACACGAAGGGCCGCTCGCCCGTGTGCCAGCGCAGGTGCGCCTTCAGGTGCGACGTCTTGCCGTACACCTTGCCGCAGCCCGGGATGTGGCAGCTGTGCAGGCCCTTGCGCCGCAGGCTCGCCCCGGCCGGGCCCAGCCGCTCCGCCTCCTGGCAGTTGGGGCAGTCGCAGGTGGCTCGGCCCGAGTAGCGACGGGCGGAGCGCGCCGAGCTCCCCCCGGCGGCGGCGGCCGCGGCCCCCGAGATCATGGCGCTGGCGGCGGCGGCGGCCACCGCGGCGCTGGAGTCCGAGTAGGAGGGGAGCACCGGCTTGAAGCCATCCTGGGCCAGCAGGTGCTGGCTGGTGGAGAGCAAGTGCGAGGCGGCGGCGGCCGAGGAGCCGAGGCCGGTGGAACTGAAGGCCGAGTGCGTGAGCGAGCTGAAGTCGGGGTTGTAGGTGCCGAGCTGGGAGTGCAGCGAGGCCTGGGGGGCGCCCGAGTGCAGCGAGCTCTGGAGCCCCCCAGCGGGGTTCTGCACCTCCAGCCACGAGCCCGGGCTGCTGTGCACGTCCCACCACGACGACGCCGCGCCGTTGGTCACCTCGCCCGCCGCCAGTGTCGAGTGAAAGCCTGACTTGTACCACGACTCGTACGGGTGCGCCATGCCCACGCGCGGGTACAGGCCGTCAGCCGCCGTGGTGTGCACCTTGGAGATGAAGGCCGACTGGCCTCCTGCCTCCTGCGGGGACACCCCGGCTGCAGCCGCCGCGGCCGCCGCCGAGTTGGAAAAGAGGCCGCCGTAATCACTGCTGAAGGCGGACGACGTGGGGGACGTGGAGGCCAGGCAGAAGGCGCTGTTGGCGGCGCCAGAGCCGCCCGCCAGGCCGCCCGAGCCGCGGCCGCCGGTGGCCACAGCGAAGCCCGAGAGGCTGGAGCCGAGGTTGCAGCTAGATGAGGAGCGCTTCCAGGGGTGGAAGCCGCCCTTGGCGAAGGCGCTCGACTCCGGCAGCGTCGTCAGCGGGCTCGTGTTACCGATCTTGTTGCAGGTCGCCGCCAGCATGGCCAACGGGGTCGTTCCGAAGCGCGGCTCTTCCTAAAGTGGGGGTTGGGGGAAGGGAGCAAGGAGGAGGGCAAGAAGAAGTGGGAGGAAGACACAAAGTGCACCCCGTGAGCATTCTCGTCGCCCCGCGGCGGGTCCCGGGGGGGCAGGAGGGGGGGTCGTGGCTCCCCGGCTGGTGCCTCCTCCCCTCGCGCTCAACCAGGATGCGCGGCGCCCCGCGCGGGACACCGGCGATCGCAAGGGCGAGGGCCCGGAGCTGGAAAGTTGTTTTTCGGTGGGGCTACAAGTCAAAGTGGTCTCGGTTCTCCCCGCCTCAGTCGCTACAACCCCTGCCCAGAATCAGATTCGGGTTGCTCTCCTTCCGCTGGCCATAAGCCCGTTCCTTCACGGATGCCCCCAAAACCGCCCTTAGGGGTGAAGCACGGAGGTAAATACAACCACAACAAGCTCCGGGTGAGGGCGGGGGCGGCTGAAACAGTGGCCCAGGGTGGAGGAGACTTGGGGCACTCCTCCAAGGGTTGCTACTACTTGATTCTTTTCTCTTTTTTTTTAATAGAAAATGTTTTAAATGATTAGTCACCCAAAAACCCGATTAGGAAAACAAGAATCCATGGAGAAGCAACCCAGCGATGGCTCTGAGTCACAAGCCAACTGGGGAGCCGCAGAAGTGTGAATGTTTGTTAACGTGACTACATGAACTGCAAACCGATTAAGGCTGTTTTCTGGAAACACCGCTGTCGCATCATTGCAACAATCTCCGAAGCAAGGGGGGTGGGGTGGGGTATAGATCACGAGGGGGAAGAAAATAAACCTTTAGGTTTTCTTAAAAGCCAAATTTACAATGACTTGCTTAACAAATCGTTTTTCTTACCAATGCACTTCCTAGGTGCCAATAACGTGGAAAGCATCGGTCCCTAAAACGTGGAAAGTGCTGAAAGAAGTTGAAGCTACAGTCCGGCAGCAACAGTTTCTCCCGAGCCGCGGACCCGGGGAAGCCATAACGAAAAATTACTCCAGTTAAAAACAAGCAAATGCGTTGCCGCACTTCTGACTTACCCCGAGTATAGACGTGGCCATAGCAGGTCCCTGGGCTGCGCGGCGGGGCCGGGAGCGGGGCTGAGCCTGGCGGCTGCTGGGGAAAACTGCTCAGGTCCCGCGCAGCTCCCGCGTCCCTGCGCTCGCGCCGAGCGGACTCCAGGCTTCCGCCAGCTAAACTCAGCCTAAGTGCGAGGCGCACCCGCTTTGAAGTGCCGCTGGCTGCGCCTCTCGCCCAATGAGGGCGCAGGCAGAGCAGACGGGAGCTGCCCCGCAGCCAATCAGACGCGCCGAAGGGCCTGAGCCGGGGCTCCCGGCGCGTGCCAGTCAAGGCCCCTAGCGAGGAGGGGGGTCGCGGGCTGGGGACTGGAGAGATTACCGTGCAATTAAACATTTACACGCACGCAACAAGCCTGGTTTAAGTACCGTTGAGACCGAGCCACCAACACCCAAGCACCCCTAGATGATGCCAGTTAGAGCTGACAGTCCTCCTCCGCTCCCCACTTGTGGGAAAGGAAGCAGGAGGGGAGGAGGCGCCGAGGTGGAGGCAGCATCTGCGAGGCCCAAGTGGAGACGCAAATGTCAACGCTCACTTTGTGTGCCCAGACTTCGCCTTCAGAACACAACTTCAGCTGGAATCCATCATGATCGCTCGCGACTTTAGCATTGGCGTCTTCTACCCAGTTCCTTATTCCCACTTGGATTCAGTTTTACTCTGAATCACCCTGAGGAGAGGGCGCGAAGGGATAGTACCTCCGAGGGGAGAAAAACAGGCCTCTTCGTCCAAGTCTACACCCAGAGACTTGGGAGGGCCTGGAGCCTGCTGCAGCCCATCATTTCCCCCCCAGCGCTCTAAGTGACTTCCTAATTGTCGCTCTGGCCTTTGACCCGGGCAGTAATGCAAGTGCCACTCACACCAGCAGCTTCTGGTGGTAATTGAGGGCACCCTTTGTACCTTTTCGCCAAGCGCCTAGATACCAGGTTAACCCAGTTGTCAAATATGACTAAACAGTGGGACGTGCTTGATTATCCGCCGGCTTTCGCTGGGGGCTGGCAGGCGGTGGGAGGCGTCAGCCCATACAACACGCTGCATGAAGCTGCTTATTTTCACCTTTTAACAACTTTGGAAACAGAGACCTGCGCGAGCCGCGTCCGCCCCCCACCGCCACCCCCGGCGAAGCTGCAGCTTGCTCGGCTGTTTGTTTAACCCGGTGAAGATTTGCGTGTCACGTTTCAGCCTAGAGTCGAGTTTTCTTGTTCCAGCTCCAACCCACTCCTACTCCAGACCTCCTGGGCCTAGATGCTCCTCTGCGGGGAAAGGCCGCCCTGTTGGGAGAGGGCCTCCCCTCCCTCCCCGCCCCCCAGCGCCTTGCTTTGGCGGATGTGCTTTTAAGGAGCCTGTCTCCCGGACCTCCATCCGCGGTTGCGGGGGACGAGGCCAAACGTGGGAGACTCCCCATTTTGCAGGCCTGGAAGCACCCTGAAGTCCTCTCCGGATCTTGTTCGTGTAAAAAGAAGTGTCCTCAGACAATTGCGCATCCTGAATGGAGTCCCTCAGCAACCGCTGAGCTGTTTGTTTTTCTCCTTTCTGGGTCTTGCTTTCTCTTTCTTCGTCAGGGCGGCCAGGAGCTGCTTTTTAACCAGAAATACCAGCGCCCTCGGACAGACCTGGGTCCTGGTTTGAATGTACCACATTCCCCTCCAAACCCACATCCTGCTGTTTAAAAGACATTTTAAACCACCAACCTCAAGTGGTTGGGTGCAAAAGACAAGTTGTTGCGAAGGGGAAGCAAGTGAGGAGGACGTGGAATTGTGCTTTCTCTTCTCTTTTGCCATATCTCTTGACCCCAAAGTGCAACCAGCGTGGCTCTTCTCTCAGCCCTAAGATGGAGCCTGCGTGCGTCCCGGTGCCCCCGTGGGTGGGGAGGGCGACGTGGGTCGTTTTCTTTGCTTTCCCTTAGAATACCTTTGCTCGAAAGGTTTTCTCCTCCCCTTTGGTTTAAGGTGGAGAAAGAACCGAGGAAATTATGACAGAAAAAAAGAAAGGAGAGGAGAGAGTGAAAAGACTCGCGTGACCATAATGAAGCGCTGTGCACTGAGGGGCTGGGGTGGAAATCCGCGGGGGCAGGGCAGGGGGCAGGTGTGAAAAGCCTGGCGTGGAGGGTTGAGTGGGAATCCAGGCAGCCTGGAAGGGCCAGCAAGCCCGGCAGGGGGACCCGGGAGCCGGTCCCAACAGGTGACTTCTGCCCTGGAAGGGAGACTGGTGCTCGGCTTCCTGCGTCTCCGCGTGCAGTTACTAATAGAGGGATTGTTAAGTGGCAGCGAGGCGTTGCCGACTCACCCAGTGCAGTCCCGGGAGGGAAAGCGCCGAGAGTTCCTCCTTCCACCTCCTCTCCCACCCCCAGCACACCCTCTCCTTATAGAAACCCGACAAAGTCATAAATAAGACCATCCGCAAAGCCACTTAGCACTAGTGACATTTTGAAATCAACCGTTGAAAACCGTTCGCGCAGGCACCTCGGGCTCCGGGCGCCCTGTGTTTGGCTCGCCTTCCTCTTCTCGCCCTCCGCTCCCCTCCCCCTCCTGCGGGTTTCAATGTAGTTCCAGCTGTCAGACTCTCTTCGTGGGGCCCTGGGATATTCCTTCAGTTACAGGCGTCGGTATCACAAAAGTTAGGGAAATCTTCCAAACCAACGCCCCAGCCACTTCACATCTAGGGTGGGGCCCCAAGGAAATCTTCCTGAAGAAGTCCAGTTTTTGTGTGTGTGTGACAGCTTTTTTTCATCCTCTAAAAATCTAGTTTTTAAACAAAGATCAACGTGTTATGCTAAAGTGTTGAGCTGACTGTTAAAACATTTGGGGAAATAATGACAATGTAACAAAGGCCTGGTTTGGAGTGAATCATCACCCTTTTTAAAAGTTAAAGCAATTTTCAGGAGAATAGCTTTCAGCAAACGCTTTACATTATTCAAAACGGCCAAATAATGCTCTATTATAGCGCCTGAATGCTGCCAGTCAGCCCCTAAGTGCAATTTGTGCAAAGGCCCCGGTGCCTTATCTCCACTTCTTTATAAAGAGGTGAATATAAAACAATTTCTTCCAAACCCAGACAGAGAGCACGAAAATTGCTTCCCTTTCTGCAATCAGGGCAATTTAACTGGAGTGCAATTAGCACTATTAAATGTCGATTCTGCATAAACAAATCTGACTGAGCAGTGAAAGTGGGGTGAGAACCTCATATACACTGAAACTGATTTTTAAAATTATGTATCCGGGTCCTTTACAATTGATCCGTGACGTTTTCATCTTGGAATATATTTACATCATAAATACACTATGGTTAAATCAACATAATTTTTTTTTGCAAAAAAAAAAATTCAATAGGAATCCTAATAAAGAAGAATAGGGTAATTAAAGGGAAGAGTTCACTTCCTTTGAACAAATATTGTTTCCTCCATCTTGCCTCTGCGGAGAGCTTTGATCTCTAGAGCAACCGCTCAAGTTGCTGCCTTTGGGAAGCAAAGCCGGGAAAACAATTCGGTCATTAGCACTGACCCGAGGCATTGGAGTTCCTTCGCCGGGAGCGGGGGAGGGGAAAGCTTCTCTCCGATGCACCGGTAATAGGGTGAGGTCTAGGAGGACCAGTAGTTATCTTCTGAAAAACTCGAAATATTAGTTGGAAGATTTGAGGATGTAAGCGGGAGGGGAGGTGTGGGGGAGGGAGGAACCGAAGGTTTGGTCTGGGCTCTCCTGTCAGGTGCCAGAGCTGGCCATCCGTGCAGGGATGGTCAGGGGTGGAGAGAGGGGAGAGGCAGGAGAGAGGAACCCATAAAAAGCTTGTATCTGACCTGTCCTCCTCCTACTTTTCTTTATTTATTTGCTAACCCACAAGGCTCCCTTTTAGAATCATTTGTGCAATTAATTATGCTTTTCATTTGCATGACCTACGCTAGAGCAATGATTATCAGGTTAGCACAGTGTGGGAGTTGGGGAGATACGTTAATAACTTGAGTTAAAAAGGAAAAAAAAGGGGGGGGGGAAGAAGCTACCCTGTGTACTATAGTCACCTGCCATGAACAAGGGTGGAGGAAGCTACAGACCATAGGTGCCTGTTGAGTGCCGGTGAATCCTTCCCACTGTTGGGGTTTGCCAGTTGTGGGTGCAAATGAAATGCAGCTTTTGATTAGAAGGGAATCTTTTATAGTTAACGCACAGTCGATTTAAAAAAGCACCAGCCTTGAGATCAAATAGATGGAGAAAATTAATTGAAAATTGAGGAACTCTCCCACAATTTCCGTTGAGCTTTCATTTCATATTTGTTCTAGAATGCTCTCATTCCAGCCCAACTCTTGCAAATAAAGGAGCCAGAAAGGATCAATAGGCCAATGGAACTTTCATCTTTTCTCCATCTCAGAAGAATTACAGCTATTTAGAGGTGACGCACGATGCAAATCCATCTTGTCTGTAAGGTCTACTGGAGAAGCTGAAAACTCTTAGTCTATTAAGTGTACTCCAAACATTTGCTGCAGAACGGCTGCAAGATGTATCTGGGCCATATATTTTAAGGCTGCCTGGGTCTGTTTATCTGAGCCAAAAATGCAGTAACAATTAAAGGAAAGACTCTGGTGTGTCAAAGGAAGGAAGGTAACTGTAGACTGTGATGATTTTAATGACTGCAATTATTGGGAGATTATTCGACAAGCATCATAGATTTGTTTACTGCATTACTTGGAAACTATGGGGGGCCTATTCAGCTTGGGGTTTTATCTTCCTCCCTCTCTCCTCGATTATCATACAGGGGTCCTAGACCTAAGCAATTGTGACATTCAGTGTTGACTTTCTTTCTTTTTTAAAAAGCATTTCAACCCAAATGAAGTACATCTGTTGTCTCAGCCAACTCTAATGGAACCATCTTTAGAGACATTAAAGCAGTCTTTTCACATAGACTCTGAGCTAATATATTAAAAGCAAAGCCAAAGGCCAGAGGATTCTGGTCACTCGTCAGCTTCTCCCAGCCAGGGTACCACTTTTACCCTTTCATAGGCAGCTATTGAGGAGACTTCCAACTCTTCCTCCTTCACCCAGGGCTTGGAGGAAGCACTATTGCTGCAAGATGTTAAACATAAGCTTCCCCATATCTCCAGGACTCCATATTGGAGAAAGTTTGTATTCTCCTTCCTTGCTTTTAACATGCCTCCTATGCCCTGATATTATCTCCTGTCACAGCTCCTGTTGTTGCCCTGATGAATAGAAGACCTATTCCTAGAAGTACACTGGTTTGTGGATAAGAAAGGTTTTCCTGTACATACAGATACAGGGGA